TTGTAAATTGTAGTTATGTTGAAATAAAAAAAATATTACAATACTATTTTTGCATTGTATGAAAATTTTTGTTGTTCCGGTCAAAGGTGTCCCTCTTTACCAATCTGAAAATCTGGTCACCTTAGGGGTGGGCATAGTCAGCACGTGACACATCCAACCTGCAGGCCGTGAGTTTGACACCCCTGCTCTAGCCTTTCAAACGTATTTTGCACTTTGTTTCTTTATGTTATTAGGTACCTCAGTTCATTTTGTTTTACCTGCAAATTCAGTAAGCATTCCTTTTCAATATTTTCATCCCTGTTATTAATATGGAGAAACTAGAATTTATTCTTCCAAACACTTTACTTCTCTCCAGTTTTATGAGAAGCCATTCATGAGCACTCTTTGAGCATAATGTTCAACCTAGCTATGTAACTACTTAATTTCATGCTGCCTAGCCAACACTAAACTAGCTTACTTTGTCAAATGCTTTGGTAAAGCCAACATATACCTACTGCATTCTATTATTCCAAAATCCATTATCGAAATTATCAAAACATAAGAGTAAATCTAAGTCTAACTTTACAAATCCAGTCTGATTTCTGGGAATTAAACACTGTTTTCATAAGATTTATGCCCACTAGCAGTACGAAAACATGCAAATGCAGGTAGATTAATAGGTATCACTTCAGTGGGAAGATGACTGCATTCTGTGTGCCTTTGGCATATAGCTATGCTGGGCACATGACTACGGAAATTGTCTTCAGATACCGGTGGCTCCCTCAGCCAAGACACGGGAGATGAGCACTCTGCCCTAGAGTTTAACATGACAGACAGGGAAACTTTTACCTTTACTTTCCTAAAACTTATAGCTTATCTTTTTATGCTTTACTCTTCCTAGTATCTACATAAAAGTGATTGGTCTGTGGTACCCTGGATCAGCGGTTCTCAACCTGTGGGTCACGACCCTTTGGGGGTCGAACAATCCTTTCACAGGGGTTGCCTAAGACCTCTAGGGCCTAGAGTCAATAACTGGAGAGGGGAATTAATTCACCTGATGTTAGCCAACGGGAGCATTCTCCAACCTCGGTGTGGAAAGGGAGACATTTTGCAGTGACAGCCTCCGCACCGTAAACAGTTGGTTTCCAATGCTGCCCCGCTGGTGAGAGATCCGGCAGGGATCTCTCTGATACCCTTAAGAAGCAAATATTGCCCTGTTGGAATAGGGACAAAAGGAGATCCTTTGCCTCTTGGCCTGATTTTGTTCACGTCTAACATACAGGTAGTCCTCGACTTACCAGCCTACACTTCAGCCCAACATTTATGTTGCTAAGTGAGAGGT